ATCCACTTCCTCACCCAGTTTTGCTTCCATTTCTTCCTCCATTGTACTATCCGGCACAGTTTCCTTTTCCCTTTCCTCATCATCTGTTTGAGCACTTGATTTGGGTGGGATGTATGAAACAAATATAACATTAGAATCCTCATCATCATCCACAGTAACAGCCTTACTGGAGCAGGTCTGGGATGCACTGCAAATAGTCATTCTCTGACTGAAACATTCATCCTGTGGGTCCTCATCACATAAATCTATGATCTCATCTACTTTGTTGCTGACATAAAAATTTCCTGTTTGTGACAATTTCTGCACATGCAATCCAGAAACAGTGATAGAAGCCTGACTGGGGGGTACAGAGACATTTTTCAGATTGACTGTGGCCTCTTCTGCTGACCGCCTGGGCGGGCTCTCAGTGGCATTAAGTTGTACAGTAACATGTTTATCAAACTCAGGTGTTTTCTTAGCCACAAAGTACATCTTCCCATTGTACATGACCAAAGCATTGTCCTTCCCTGGTCCAACACCTGAGGGACTTTTTTGGGGAGAAGATTTGGTGGCAGCACTCTGATCAACATTCTTGGTTTTCTCCATCTGAGCAAGAGTTTTAAGGATCTCCAAGGTCATGGAAGAGGAGTTCTGGGGAACGAGGCATGGTGCAGCTGAATCAGACTGTTCCTGAACAACCCATTTAATTGGAGTGATGGGACCTGGGCTTTCCTTAGAAAGGACCTTTGTGGTTTGGGCAGGAATAGGCAAAGAATTTGGAGGTGGCTGGCTACTTGTTTTAGGCAGTGGGTTGACTGGAAGGGGAGTGGGTGACACTGAGGGAGTATGCACTGAAGCTCCTAGTTTCATGGTATTCACTGGTGATACATACACAGCAGTTAGCAAATTCGATGTAGTGCTGGGGGCACCTGAATGGGTGCTGACTGGTGGTGTCAATATCCTCCTTTTTATAGCCTGAGGAAGTGCTGAGGCTGGCAGTGTTTTCACTTGAGCATTTGATGGAATTTGAAGATAATGTCCACTGGGGAGCACTGGGGATTTCACAGCCACAGGCAACTGGTTTTTATTCAGGAGTGTTATTGCTTTCCCACAGTTCAACATGGGTGATGCCACTGGCACCACATTCTGGGTCATTTTCGAGTGAACTATAGGAACATGGACTCTAATGGGAGCACCTGTTGATACTCTCACTCCTTCCTGAAACTGTCCTGTTGCACTGAGGGGGTTCAGCGTCACATTTATGTCTGGTGGCCTTTTCAGAACATATCTTGTATTGACAGTCGGGTGCATTGGAAGAGTAACTGGAAGGTTACTTTGTGACACTGGTGCTGGGGTGAAGTGGATTGGTTGGGCATACACCCTTTGTGGTTCATTGTCAGCAGTTCTGCAAACATTGGGTAAGTTAGAGCTATTTTGTATACTAACAAACTGTCCATTGACTCGCTGAACTGGAATGAGTTTCATTACATTTTTCCCATCAGGCCCCACAGCAGGCATAGCTTGATAGTAGACACCTGTCCCACTAAAAGAAAGGGATAGATTTTAGTGTAGAACTGATTACAAATAACACAATGACTGTCAAATGCTTCTTTGAAAAATTAATCAAAATAGACTCCTCAATCTGATCTACCCTGATATTATTATGATCCATAGCAATCTTAATTATCTTTAAAAAGACTCATGAAGGTACTTGAATAATATTTGTAAACCTAAATTATAGTTTGCTTGATGTTCAATTCCTCCTTTCCAGACTCTTATGTACACAGTATGGACAGGTAAACCAACTATACATTAAGCAAAGCACTACAGAAAAGAGACTACTTTGAACAGAGAATGGTAGCAATTACCATTTGACACCATTACTTTTTACAAGTTTGAAAATATAGTATTTTAAATTCCATTAAGTCTGATGTACAATTGCCATCATCAGATCATTTATTACATCATAATATATTTTATAATTTAAACATAAAACTGCTGCCAAGAGTCGTATGTTCCACAAGCTACTACAAATACAGTAACCAACAAGGAAAAAAGACCAAAATTGAAGTGACCAATGACAAGGGGGAGGGGCTATATTAAAAAAAAAAAAATCTAGTTCTGAATTGCATCCATTTGCAGCAGGTGGGTCTCCTCTTAATTTGTTCCTTGATAAAGGTGAACAGTAAACGTGGATGAAAATCAGAGCACAGACTGAGTTAGGGGACAACAGTCACCCACACCAATTTACTACCTAGACAGGATTATGACATGTAGGCATTGTCCAGCACGTCAGTCAGAAGAGACGATGCATACGTGTCCGACATTCCAACATTTACAGAATTACACAACTCCAGCTAGTGCTGGGAGGTAGGAATTTGTATCATGGTATATTTTAAGATTCTGGTGGTTTCACGATATATCATGGTATTTTTTCCCCCCCCAAGTTCACCCTTACCACAGCAGCAAGCATTTATATCAATGAAATACACTCACCTAAAGGATTATTAGGAACACCATACTAATACGGTGTTTGACCCCCTTTCGCCTTCAGAACTGCCTTAATTCTACGTGGCATTG